AGCAGCAGCAGCAGCAGCAGCAGCAGCAATAGCAGCAGAAACAGCAGCAATAGCAGCAGAAATAACACCAGGGGCAGCTGTATCAGCAGCAGCAAGAGCAGCAATAGCAGCAGCTAGCAGTCAGAACATCCGCAGCTAAACTCTAAACCCTAAACCCTAAACCATGAACTGGAGACAGCAGCAGCTGCTGCTGCTGCTGCTGCGGCGGCTGCCTCTGTGGGTGTGTCTCCAACTACGGCTAGATGCTGCTACCGAAGGGCTAATTGTTGCTTGTGCTGCTGCTCGGCTGCTGCTGTTGCTGCTGTTGCTGCTGCTGCTGCTGCTGCTGCTGCTGCTTCAGGTGGAGTTGTCTCGCCGCGCTTTCGATCCGGCCTACGGTTTGTTTCATGTGCGCTCTGTTGCTGTCTTTTGTTTTTTCTTCACTTTGTTCTGCTGCTGCTGCTGCTGCTTCCTTCTTCATTTATCTCTTTCTTCTGCCTCCTGGTGTCTAGCTCGCTGGCCAACGATGCTGTTAACTAGCTAGCTAGCTAGCTACCTTTGTTGTTAGCTAGCTAGATAGGTAGCTGGCTAGATAGGTAGCTGGCTAGACAGCTAGCTTTGTTGTTAGCTAGCTAGAACAATAGCTGTCTAGCTCGCTATGTAGTTACCTAGCTAGATAGCCAGCCCTGTTCTTAATTAGCTAGCTAGCCAGCTGGGCTGTGAGCTAGCTAGATAGCTAGCTAGCTAGCTACGTATGGATTTGCTTGCGTTTGCTCTGTTTGTTTTATTTGTTTTATTTGCCTTATGTGTTTCACCCACTACATTAATTTGTTGAATTAATAAATTTATTTTGTTTTATTTATTTACTTCTTTTGTTTTATTTATTTAATTATTTTATTTGCTTTATGTGCGTGGGTTATTATTTAGTTTAATTTACTTTACTGGCTTTGTTTGATTTATTTTATTTAATTTATTTGTTTTGTTTATATTACTCATTTTTAGTTTAATTTAATTAGCGAATTTAACATATTTAACTTACTTTGTCTGATTTAATTAGTTTAGTTTATTTGTTTAATTTATTTGATATGTTTAATATATTTAATTTATATTAATTAATTAATTTATTTGTTTTGTTTTTATTTAGAGCTGCGCTGACAATTCTCTCTTCCCAAATCCTTCGGTTGAACTTCTGCACAAAAATTTTGCTGACCTCTTCCTCGCCATCGGCAGACTCGTCGGCAAGGTGCTGCTGCTGCTGCTGTTGCTGCTGCTGCTGTTGCTGCTGCTGCTGCTGCTGCTGCTGGTTCGGGTGCGATATTGTGCTGTCTCGCGTCCCTGTTTGTATTGTGTTATATTCGTTATTGCATATGCTGCTGCTGCAGCGACAGCAGCAGCAGCAGCAGCAGCAGCAGTAGAGCAGGCTGTGTGTTCGCGTGTCTGCATTACTGTACATCATTATATTGTCTTTCTTTTCCTCACTTGTTCATTTATTTATTTATTTTATTTATTTATTTATTTTGTTTGTTTGTTTGTTTAAAGGCGGTGTTTGAAGGGGTATTAATAGAACCTCAATTGAACAGAGTTTTCTTGAAGTTGCTGCTGCAGCGGCAGTGCAGATTGGATGACTTAAAGAGCCTGGACCCGTCTGTACACCGCAGTTTGATGCTGCTGAAGGACTTCACAGGCGATGCCGCAGAATTATCTCTAACTTTCTCTCTTACGCACTCCGAGTTAAACACTACACAAGAAGAAGATCTTATTCCTAATGGCCGTAATATACCCGTCACCAAGTACATCTTCATCTTTCTCCTGCTCCTGCTGCTGCTGCTGCAGCTGCTGCTGCTGCAGCTGCTGCTCTTCTTGCTGCTGCTGCTGTGGCTGTTGCTGCTGCTGTTGCTGCTGCTGTGGCTGTTGCTGTGGCTGTTGCTGTTGCTGCTGCTGTGGCTGTTGCTGTGGCTGTTGCTGTTGCTGCTGCTGTTGCTGTTGCTGTTGCAGCTGCTGTGGCTGTGGCAGCTGCTGTGGCTGTTGCTGCTGTTGTTGCTTGGGCTGTTGCTGCTGCTCTTGCTGCTGTAGGTGCTGTTGCTCTGGCTGTTTGCTACTGCTGCTGCTGTTCTTGCTGCTGCTACTGTTTGTGGTGCTGTTGCTGCTCTTGTTGCTGCTGCAGTGGGTGGCATGCATGCATGCATGCATGTATGAATGTGTCTCCTTGTCTGTCTGTCTCTTTGTCTGTCTCCTTGTCTCCCAGCGCTTCAAAACTGCGGTACTTGCAGTTGGTGTCGGAGTATAAATGCGTAAAACAAACTCAAAAACAAACGAGTTGTTTCCTAAAGGGGCTCAGCGATGTGCTGCCGCTGCAGTGGCTGCAGATGTTCTCTCCAGATGAACTCCAGCACCTTATCAGCGGCACCAGTGAAGGTTAGCTCTATATACAAATACTGAGCTAGCTAGCTAGCTAGCTAGCTAGCTAGCTGGTTGGTTGGCTAGCTAGCTAGCTGGCTGGCTAGCTAGATGGTTAGCTAGCTGGCTGGCTAACGAGATAGCTAGTTGGTTAGCTCGCTGATCGGCTAGCTAGCTAGCTAGCTAGCTAGCTAGCTAGCTAGCTAGCTAGTGTCCGTGCGTACTGTCTCTTTTTCTTTTGTCTGTTTGTCTCTTGTCCCTCTCTGCTATTTCTACTGTCTCTCCTCCTACTGTCTCCTTTACTGTCTCCTCTGTCTCCTTGTTCGTTTTCATGGTCTCCTCCTGCTGTTTTGTGCACCCCTTCGTCTCTTGTCTCTCTTTCTGCTGGTTGTGTCTTACGGCCAAGCTGTATCTTTTGTTTCTACTGTCTCTTCGCCTGCTGTCTCTACTGTCTCTCTCTCTCTCTGCTGTCTCTACTGTCTCTCTCTCTCTGCTGTCTGCACTGTCTCTCTCTCTGCCGTCTCTACTGTCTCTTCATGTCTTTCTTTTTCTTTTTTGTGTATCTTTTCTCTCTTCTGTCTGTCGCCTTTCGTCCTTGTTAATTACAGTCTCCTTTGCTGTCTCCTTTGCTGTCTCCTCTACTGTCTGCTTCACTGTCTCCTTTGCTGTCTCCTTTACTGTCTCCTTTTCTGTCTCCTTTTTTTTCTGTCCCCTCTACTGTCTCCTTCACTGTCTCCTTTACTGTCTCCTCTACTGTCTGCTTCACTGTCTCCTTTGCTGTCTCCTTTACTGTCTCCTTTGCTGTCTCCTTTTGTTTTTCTTTTGTTTAGGCTTTGATGTCTCTGATCTGCGTCTGCATGCATCATATAGCGGAGGCTTCACTGAACAGACACCCCAAATTATTTGGCTCTGGGAACTGCTGGTATGAATATAAAATATTTTCTGCTGTCTCCTTTTTTAAAACATGCATGCATGCATGCATGCATGCATGCATGCGTGCATGACGTTCGTACTGTCTCCTTTTTTCGTTTTTACTGTCTCCTTGTAACAGGAACTGAATACATATCGCTTAGCTGTCTCCTTTTTATGCGTACTTTATATTGTTATAACTGTCTCCTTTTCAAGGAACTGCATGCATGCTTTTTTGGCCTCTCCTTCTAAAGAAGCTTGTATATATATATATATATATATATATGTATATATATATATATATTAGATATATGTAATAGATATATTGTTTATATATTATGTTAAATATATAATATATATTATGCATGTTTCTTTCTGCATGTAATTATACATTTTTACTGTATCTCTAATTAGCTAGTGCATGCATATAAGTCTGTTTGAATATATATTGGGGTGTATAGGCACCTTTAAAGTGTCTCCTTTTGTCTTTGATTGCGTAAATATATGCAGGAGACGATGGGCGCGAGCGAACGCAGCGGGTTTTTAATGTTCGTTACCTCTTGCTCGCGAGCACCTTTAAGAGGGTTTGGCTCTCTGTCTCCTCCTTTTACTATTCATCGTGTCCCTGATGCTGCAAGACTGCCTACTAGCAGCACTTGTATTAATTTATTTAAACTTCCTGCTTACTCATCTCGTCAAGAACTCTGGGATAAGGTAAGGGGAGCAATAGGGGGAGCCCGTGGCTTCGGACTCAGCTAGCTAGCTATGGCTAGCTAGCTAGCTAGCTGGAGAGAAGCATGCCTAGCTCCCGTACTACCGAGCTAGCCAACTGTCTAGCTGGCGAGTTATTTGGCTACAAAACTATCTTAGCATGTACCTAGCTAGCTAGCTGGCTAGCTATATAGCTGGCTAGCTATATAGCTGGCTAGCTACCTAGCTGGCTAGCTACATAGCTGGCTAGCTCCCTAGCTGGCTAGCTATATAGCTAGCCAGCTAGGTAGCTGTCTCGCTAGCTAGCTCGCTAGTTGGCGCTGACCGCGTTTCCCAGCCAGCGAATACGTTCTTCGTGTCGCCTCCGTAGCAGCTAGCTGGCGGCTAGCCAGCAACCAGCCAATAGCTAGCTACCTCCTACGCGTAGTGTCTCCCTCTGGAGATTCTCCTCAATCCCTTTTCTTCTCTTTGTTGTTGTCAATGAGGCCCTTTAACTTATTTAGCTTCTGCTTGTAATTATTTACTTTAGGAAACATATTATATATCAGACACAGCTAGCCAAAGAGCTAGCTAGCTAGCTGCTGGCTAGCTGAGTTTATCGCACGTCTTGCCAGCTAGCTACACACGAAAGGCGCGCCACACGCCAGCTAGCTAGCAGCCTATCGAGCGGGCTAGTGAGTCAGCTAGCTAGCCATCAACCGAGCCAGCTAGCTAGCCAACTAGCTAGCTAGCTAGCCAACTAGCTGTGGCTTTTTCAGAGCGTTAAACTAGCTCAGACTTCGCAGGCCATTCGATGTACAGCTGAAGCATACCTGCAGTGGGTACAGTCTTCGGCGATCCTCTGATTAGCTATTTAACTAGCTAGCTAGCTGTTTCGCTAGCTATTTAGCTATCAATTTAGCTAGCTATTTGGCTAGCTACCCCTCGTCGTACGTTGCTACCGAGCCAAGTCTCCTGTGAACACGCTATGCTGTTGAGTGGAGGAGAGACAATTGCTGCTGATGAGGGAGAGACAAAGGAGACAAAAGAGACAAAGGAGACAAAGGAGACAGTTAAAGCAGAAACAACAAAGACGCCAAGCCATAGAAAAACGAAAGCACTAGGTTCAGCCCCCCGTTAACAGCCTGCACCCTCTTGGCTTCCTGAGGGTAGCTGCTACAGCAACAGCTGCAACAACAGCTGTAGCAATAGCTGCTCCTGCAGCTGCTGCTCCTGCTGCTGCTGCTGCTGCTGCTGCTACAGCAGCTCTCTGGAATATACACTGCAACCAACCGCAGCATGCAAAGCCCACATCGCTTAATTCCGTTTGTCTACTGCATTGTTTGTCTTTGTTTAAATTTATATTTATCTGATTGAGGCGGAGAAATGTATGGCTAATCAGAAGGAAAGAGATATAGCTTCTTGTTAGCTATTCTTTAGTTGTCTACATGCGGTGTATATACACCTCAAGTGCTGTCTATACACTCCACTGCAACATGCGGGGTTGTGGGGCCCCACATGGCCCCTCAAGAGGCAAAGGTTCTATACTAGCTGCTATACACTGGAGACAATTCAAGCGTGTATACATCTGAAGGTAATTGAGGTGTCTGTACACCCGAGATAGCGTCTACGCTTAGCCGCAGGCGGACCAGCAATAGGAGGTGCACTCTGTGTAAAAAACCAATATATTTTAATATAACTATTCAAACTAATATTAATTAATAATTAATTAATTAATTATCAAAGAATTGAGTTGTTTGTACACACAAACTCATTGC